TACTTCAGAAATCTATTAACTAAGAAATTTAGTAGAAGAATTTGTATTAAACAGACAAAAGTAACCACAAAGGAAAACAATATTATGTAGGTACTTACATATTTTCTCCTTTCTTTTTACCTTTGTGTGTCTCGGGCTATTCCTGTCCAGGAGGAGAAGGCAATCGGTCAACTTTGTTTCCAGGGATGACATAGCCTCCTTGGATTGCCTGTGCCCTGGTGTCCAGATCCACCATTCCCTCGCTTGCGTTTACGTGTAGTCCCTTAACCAACTTCTTAACTTGATCAGGGTCGAAGGCCTCTGTGTTTGAACTTCTCCTTGCAAGTTCAGCGGCTGCATCGTTACCAAGTGATCCACTGTGTCCCTTAATCCATTGTAGTGTCACTGTATTTCACGGTTTAGTACCGTAACGCGTTCCAGAGCATTGTGGCATTCTAGTATTAATTTTGACGTGATCTGGTTAATCTTTAAGGATTGGAGAATCGGAGCGCTTTGAGTGTACACGGGTATCCGTGACTTTGAATGTAGCCAACACATTCTGCTTAATGGACAGTGTTGAGCATTTCTAGGGGCCTGCCTAAGCATAATCTAAGCAGATGATGATAATATTGACTAATGTTATAATTTGATTTCCAATCACATAACTAAAAAAATTATAAAGAAATTTATTTAATAGTCCCATTTTTTGCTCTTCAGTGCATTTTCATTGTATATTTTTTTTATTCGTCGTTTTCTCTACTCCATTGCCGATGCGTTCTTGATCTTGACACGCTGCTTTAAAATTATCACGTCGTTTGGCTCGGCTTCGTCACCATTCCAGAACCGTCAACATGTTTAAGAAGTGGACAGCTCGAAACGATCACTATGAATCAACAACGTTGAGCTTCATTAAACACTAATGGAGAATATATTCAAACAATTTAGTTTTCAAAGAACAATTTTACAAACTAGAATTTGAAACACACTGAAAAAATAAAGAGCCAATCAACCTTAGAAGTCATCCATAAAACCTCTCCGTAGCTTTCCTTTTTGACTAGGTCTTTGTTTGAATATATTTGACATAGAATGAATATGAATTTAATAATTAAGGTTTTAAAATACTCAGAATGTCACTTATTTCGTTCATTGGCTTAACCCTTTTCGGTTCGGTTTCAGCATTTTATTGATGACACATTTTTTAACGTTAAAGGATATTTTATTCCGTGTGTTTTCCAAGTTACGTTATGTTTTGTTCCAGGTGGAGGTGCGGACCTCCCCTGCAAATTTAAACGATACATATATCAACTTTTTCGCATTCTTCAATCTATATACTACTATTACACGGGAAAGATAAGAATCTGCTCAAAAGAAACTTAGCGTAGTAACTTTTGCAGATGAATAATAGCGAATTTGATGCATCTCTTTATTTGTGAAGTACAAATCTTTATTTTAGGTACCATCCCATTTGATTTCAATGTCCTTCATGTAGTTATATTAAGAGAGCTAGGTATTGCAGTTAATGATGAAATTTATTATAATCGTTGCATCTGAGAAGGTTTTGGATTATAAGCAATAGGACTTGAAAATTACATAAAAACGTCATCAAGCTGATACTGTAAAGTAAAATAAAATTTTATGGCTCATGCTCATGAGAATACTTCAAAACGAAGTATCTACTAGCCACCTACACAGTTGGGTCGGCTCCCAATCGAAAGGCAGAAATAATTTTGGAATTTGAACTATGCTGTAGAGTGAAAAAACGTGCTCACACACACGCATCACTAAGAAAATTTGATTCCACTAAGAAAAAATATAGCGATCTATGACAGCACAAAGAAATCATTTGCTTAGAGACAGAAGAAGCTTGCGAGATCTACGTGTCCGTCAGATGTAGTGAAAAGGAAGGAGCAAAATGTTGTGAGTATTTGAGGTAAAATGAACAAAGTCTATATAGAAAGTGCGAAAGGTTCGACCGAGTTCCCAACTGATGAAAGCGATATAATGTATTAAGAGACGAGAATTTAATGTATTGATCATTCCTATACATCGTGAAACCTCATATATTAGAAGACCTCAAAGATATTGTTAAACTACTTTAAGAAGAAAGAAGGGTGTTTCAATGTTTAATTTCTAAACTTCTTCTTCTTCGAGTTCCGCTCCAACGAGTGAAGACTAGCAGTCAGATTCGCTTTTCGAACCTGGTCTTTAGCGAGGGCATCCCCGTCCAACAGCTCACCTTACCGATCATTATCAATTGAAGAAGCTCGTATCTGGAGTGTGTAAGCACGTGGCTTAGATAGGCAAAGTATCTAGTTCTTTTGATTATCTGCATCAGTTCGCGGTTCCTGCCAACTCATCGCAGGATCTCAATATTAGTCACTCGATGGATCCAGCTTATGACCAAAATGCGTCTAATGACCACATTTCAAATGCTTCTACACGTTTCTGGAGTTGCTGAGTTACTTTTTAAGGGCCTCATATCCGTTTTAAAAATCACATTTAGGTGACCATGTTTAATATTTAAGTGACCTAACTCAAATCAGTTTGCACCAAACTTTAAGACGACCTTACAGGCTATTTATGACAGCGATTAAGCAGCGCATATTAAGAAAGTCATTAAACATTTTCTAAATAAAGCAATAATCGTAAATCTACTTTATTTTGACGTAAAGTAAAAAAAAAATTAATAAATTAAATAAAGACACTTGCTAAACGATTAATATGTTATCTGTCCATACATTTATTCGGAGTAGTTATGAGCATGTAAGTTATATGAACATCTGACGAATTTTATTTTGGAGCGAAGCAATATTTACTTCTGCTGTTACATATCGTAAAGCTTTGGCATATCTTTGCTAGCAGTCGCCTGAATGCAGAGTGGTACAAACGGGTAGGTAGGACTATTTTTAAATAATTGTAATTTTAAATAGTTCTAAATTAAATAAATTTCCGACAGTTGTATCTCAGTATCAATTTATTTTAATTGGCTTCTCTCATTCCTATTTCTAGACAGTTGTGGACATATGCGGCATCGTAAATTATAATAGTTTCTTAAATATTCCGAAGATTGAGGGTCATAAATAGACCCTGAGAATGATTTAATCTAAATGTTAAAAAATTGTGAACACTACACGTTGGACTGATCTGAAACATAAATAACGGAATATTGCGACAGTAACCTGTATCGTAAATATTATTTTAGTACATCTGGTGTTTGCACAAATTACATTAGCGAAAAAAGCTAGACTGACGTAAAATTTTTCCATGTGATATTTCCGGATCTTGATATAAAATAATAAAGATTTATCGTCTACATTGACGTCTGAATAAAAAAGAAAGTTTGCTAACTCAGAATTGTTCAAATTATTAGGTATGAAGTAGTTCTAGTAAATTTTCATTTTCTTCTTATATTCATACCAGTTAGCCTACAAAATGTAAGTACTGTTAGCTTGTGTAATGGAGAGAAAGCTGCTGATTATGATTACGAATAAAAATCAACAACCTACAATAATTATAAGTATGTATTTTGGAGTAATATATATATAAATAAATAGGTATTAATAATACAAAAAATTACCGCTGCCAGGATTTGAATCCAGGACCTCAGATCAGCAGTGCTAGTCTGTAAAATATTCAGGCGCGGATCCGATTGCGGTTCCGCGCGTTTCCCATATGGATCCGTGCGGATCCACATCGCACTCAGAGTAGTAGTTATACCTTGAAAACCAGCGTATACATCGATTTCATTCAGAATTCTAATTAATTTAAAGAATTCATTAGTTAAAATATTCGCGAATTCAAACTGCAGAGCTTTCTTCAAATTATTTTTTTGTCAAGAAGCCTACACTCACTGCTCGATAAAATTTTAACAGTCAGCTTATAAAAAATGGCTTCATAGTACAGTGCCCAATGAAATTAAATATAATAATCTTTTGTTACAGGTTCGGAGAATGAAGCAAAAATAATCATGTGACCAATGGAGGGCGGCTAGTCAATACGCCAAAAAACAAACTTTAAGAAACCGTAATTTTAGTTAATAATCATAAGTTAATGGATAAGGAGACAGTGTTTTAAACCCAAGCATTTATATAAAGTAGTACCACAAAACCTACTGAAGATCTGCAAGCGAGATGAAATTATATTATAGACACCGATGAATGTGACAATCTAATCGAATTCAGTGCTGGGCATTCCAATTTAATTAAACTCTTAACTAAAAATGTAAGTGAAAGACAACAAAATATTTAACATCAATGAGGACGACAAGTGGCAATTACTTGCCTCTTGGTTGTGCCATCTTTTATGAAATGTATCGTTGTTAAGAATTATTAAGCGTTTAAATAAAGTTTTTTAAGAGATCTATGTTATTATTTTTTCGTGTCAAGTAAAGCTGTACATAGTAACAGTTTATTAACAAATCAACTTCAACGACCCAGCCTGCGTAAACGACTTCAGTATAAAATAGAAACTGGCGTCATGACAGGAATAACTATTGGAACAGTTTCAGAAAAGAATTCATCAGAAAAACTTTACAAAACTGTAACGGAAAAGGCGAAAATATTTTAGTTACTACTACAACTAAATTAAGCTTTTCTGAGTATGAATAAAATACGACAATGCGGGAGCGGCAGTCCTAAGTGGTTTGAGGCGTAATCCGGCATACCTAAATACTGATTTCATCGCAACTAGATTCAGGAGCGTTTACTTGCGAAATTCATGCTGAAATACATTAGTGAACTTTTGGCAGTTGGCCAAGCGCTGCTTGGTAATTGATAAACATGACCTGGTTACTTCGCATTTATGAATTAGATATCTTGGTAGGCATGTGGCATGATAAACATTTACTGTAAGGTTGATAGTAATTATAAGAATAATAAATATTTATACTCATTATCTTGTTTGAGAAGGTTAAATGACGTGTGTGTCACTAATCCAATAAATTAATAGGGAAATAAAGTTGAAGTATGAAGATTTTAGCATTAATTATTGTATTGTTGATATCCAAGATACAAGAGCAAGCTTTAAAACTTTGAATTTGAACCACTCTCCTCCGTTTGATTTCCACTGTTTGAGGTAGGCTCTTCTTCAGATTAAGCTTCTTCATCAGGTTTTGCTGATTCTGTTTCACCATCGGCGTCCCTTATACTTAAATTAGATTCAGTATGACTTTTTGATTGATTTGCTTTTTTTCTAAATTCCTTTAGCTTAGGCGCTTGTGTGGATACTTCCTCGCGTATTTGTTTTGCTTCATCGTTTGCCACGATTGCTAACATATTATCTTTTAAAGATACCTCAATCGTTAATATTGACTTTTGCTCTAGTGCTTCAAGGTCAAGAGTTTCTACTGAGTTTGCATCAGAAATATCGATATCTTTAAGAAATTCATTTTTATTTGTTTCATCTTTGAGATTTATCGTTGAATTAGTTTTTTCAGAGAATTCTTTCAAAAGTGCAGTTGTTGCTTCTTCATCTTTTTCTATCAACAAGTTATCTTTACTAATAGATTCATCGTCAGTCACATATGTTTTACTATCCTTCTTATAATCGAACAATTCCTTTGCTTTCGTTTCTATTTTTTTTATTAATGTAGATGATATTGCTATAGCCTCTTCTACATCTCGCGGCCCTCTCGATGTTGTAGGTAGGCTTGATGGTGATTGATTGGATTCACTAATAAACTCTTGTGTATTATTATTATTCATCACCTGTTCAATCTTATGAGGTAAAAATTCTTGTTTGTCTTCTGTAGGTCCAACATTTGCTTTATCAGGCGTGCGCAGATCAATTTCATTTGTTTCACCAACATGTGTAGCACTATCAACTAATGAAGTAATATTTTCTAGTTCCCCTTTTGAAGAACGATGAAATGAAGATGTAGCCGCATTAGAATGTAATGCAGGAATGTCAGCGATTACGGGATTTAAAACATCTCTCTTATCGGAAATTGATTCTGGCAAAATTGGTTTAGTTGGAATATCAGTAGTATCTTCTGGTTGTGTGAATTTATCGCTTGGATTGTTAAGGCTGTCGAAACGACTATTACCATTAAAATTGTTGTAAGCAGTTTCAGTTTCAGGTTTATCATTAGAACTATCGTCATATCTATTAAAGTGTTTGTAAATAGAATTTTTGGTCTTCGGAAAGTGTTTTAAAAGGTAAGCCCAGTCTCCAAGTTTTAGGGTAAGAACTTGTGATTTTATTACAGTGCGATATGAGTTAGGAAATGGAGTATCATAAAATAGGCCTTGTTCCTGTAAGAATAACAAATAATATTTTGCAGTACATATGGAAATCAATATTCATTCTACAGACGAGGAAAAGCAGTATATTTGAACTAACTAATCCGAAGTACTCTGAAGATTTGTAGACAATGTCTTCCTGTGGGCTCGAAGTGATCTCCTGGACGCGACCATTATGTATCATGTACATAGAGTCAGTGATTTCAGTCTTCCTTACTACGTATAAGCCTTATGACAAGAAGAAACACTAATTAGACTGTATAGCTCAAGGGCGGATCCAGGGGGGGGAGGTCATGGGGGTCATGACCCCCCCCCCTGGGCTGGGTACAGATGGACCAAACCCAGGGGGATTTTATTTAAGTACTTTCAATATTTAATATACCACGACTATATGACCCCCCCCCTGGCGCCAAAGCTGGATCCGCCCTTGGTTGCTATCTTTATTGTCTATTGAAGATATAATACACGCACGCAGTGTTTATAACACTAGCCCCCTTATTAATAAACGAAGAATAAGCTTGGATTAGTTACTCCACGTTCTGTCTCTGTTCATTAAATTACAAATGGCACTAGAGTGATATGATCATATGAACAAAAACACGGCGTAACTAGTCTAGGCTTTTCCCTTGTTTGTTATTAAGCGTGTATGTTTAGTTTTTAGTTATGATTTAAATATCCAAAGGACATTGTTCTGCGTCCATACATAGTTAGCCTAAGAACCAACAATCATGAAATATTATTTTCTAGGTTCGAAATCGCAAGTAAATGACTGTAAAAACAAAGATTATTGACGGACACTTCTGAAAACTTAAATTATTAGGAAAACTAAAATTTTTTTGAGGTTACCTATGTTTAATATTCACTGAAACATAGGTCAACCTATGAACTTAGTATGAACTCAGTATGAAGTAAATTAATATTACAACTAATTCATTTTATTCGGTGCGATTTTAAAGAACTACTATTAGGAAGAACTTGGTTAGGTAGGAATCATGAATAAAATAAAAACAATAGTTTTGCTTCTTATTATTTATTGACTATTTTTCACATAATTATATCATATTGTATTTATTTGTTTAACACATGTCTATTGTGTTAATATGCAGCGTGAATGGTGCTCTTGAATAATTTGGCAGTATGATCCTCTCAGGATGTTGTGGCACAGGTTCACTAGCACTTGGTAATAAGGTCTCTCCTCTTTGTTAACTTCGATGGCATATTAGATAGCCGAAATAGTAATAGTTAAATTAAAGGAAAAATAATCGCAAATAAACACACACAACAGGTAATCCGAACGAGAATTTTCCGTATACTACTACCGTATACGTAGTACTCTTTGACGAGATGCACGAATGCCACAGATTACTACGAATGCAAACTACCTGCACCACAACCACAGAGTATCAAGTTTATGCCGGCCCTTCACTTGATAACAGTTTGTCCTTGTCATGCTTAATAAGGAATGAAAAGGACAGACTGATGTCATGTTTTTAAATAGCAAATACGAATAGCCAAGTGAAGTGCCGGCATTAGTAAGAAAGTGTTTTTTGTTTGCAGCGCTGTTATAGACTATATACAGAAAATGGTATTTATTGTCTCAGATTATTTATTAACTTTTTAATTTAGCTTACTTAACTGGAAGTGTCCGTCACAATCTAAATACTGATAATTATCGCAAAAAATATTCTAAGAATTATCATAAATGCCAAATTGGTGTTGGTTCTTAGGCCAATTTTAACATTGTCCTTTACTTCATTGTTAAACAAACGTACTTATACAAAATAACCTTTAAGAGCGGACGCGAGCTGTGAGACATTTGAGAAATAGGTATTTGAAAAACTATTTCTGTCATGTAGGTGCGGTAGGAACAGTATCCCTAGCACGAACCAATATCAAATTCGTATCGTTTGCGAGTCCGAAATGTCATTGTCCAATGTGTACTGATTTTTAGTTCTCGTTACGTACTTTGTGCCGCTGCTGTTCAAGTTTCCATACAAAATTGACATTGACATTTCGGTTTGCAAACTATTCGAATTCGATATTGGTTCGTGCTAGGGGTACAGCAGTAGTTGACGCTGGAGATTGCGTATAAAAACGCAAAATTCGTGGTTTGGCTCTCGTTTATTTCCTCCTCGAAAATTATAAAAGAAATTTTACTTTATTTTACCCATAGAATAATTAGTAGTTATATTGTGCCTCTAATGTTTTCCTTTTATTGTAAATGCTTATTAAATCTCCTTACTAGACGTCTTTAGTGGTGATACTGTTTATTTTAGCATTTTAGAGGGCTTCTAGTTTATTTGAAACACAAGTTATTGAAAATAGGAAGACATAGTAGCATAGAGTGAGTAAAATAATATTTTATGTTTGAAAATCAATTCTTTACTGATAAAAAACAAGGAGGAATCAGTCGAGAACCATTGTATGGAAAAAAACATTGACCGCCTCCACTCTTAATAAATCTACTTAGAGCCAGTATTAAGTGAATTTTAATATATTATGCCAAGTACTGAGCCATCAATGAGCTTATAGACCATGCGTAAAAGAGTAATAAATCTACATGTCGTACGCAAACATCTGGCAAATTGGCCGTTCACATTTTATCTTGATGCGTTGTAATAATAAAAATGTGTTTAAAATCACCTTCGTCGTACGTGTACAGCTGCAGACATCCGACCAGCTGTCGCAGAAACGCCGGTTCACATTCCTTGAAGACAGGGTTCTGCAAGAGTTGAATTACTAATGTGTGTGGCCGTACTACATGAGTAAAGCAGACACAGATGCAAAGCTTCATACAAATGCATTGAGCTCTGGCGGCAGAAACGTTTCTATTAGTGGCGAGCTTAGATTAAAACAAAAAGGGTAGATACGGTACGCTCATACTTGCATCAAACAAAACTGATCTCACGGCAGCGCGAACGGGACGGCGAGACCCGCGTCACTGCATTACCGACCAATCACGCGACCAGTACTCGACGTCACTACCGAATAAGATTCAAAACAAACAGCAATTTTTATGAAAAAATATATTTTATAGTATTTACGAATGAAAGTGATGCCGTGGCAGCTATTTTTAGCTCTTGAAGAATTTGACCACTTTTTAAAAACATACATAGGCATTGTTTTATCATATAAGCATATAAACACAAAATATTATCAATATTAATATTTCTTTTTGGCGTTCACATGTACGTCGTTTGCATGTCAAGTTGTGACTAAGCGATTAGGGTCGTGGACCACAATGTGTGCGGATCACTTTTGTGAGGCTAGTGCCGTATCTACCCTTTTAGTTTTAATTTAAGGTGGCGAGACGGCGACAGGCCGCCAGCGCTCACTAACACGCTCACTGCACGAATCTTTGCCTCTGTGGTGCCTCCTTTTCTCGTTCTTCAGACATCGTACCAATACCATTCATCACATTGCTAACAACAGATTCATTTGTCTGGCGAGCAACGTCGTGCTGTAAATGCTGTAATGGATCGTCGCGTGGCCTGCGGACGCCAGCTCTACGCGTAATCCTGTCAATCCACCTGTCACAATCGGGAATGCCTCATTTCACTTGCGATCATTTTATTTTGATGATTAATTAACCGGAAACTGGGGACGTAATATTCAACGTCATATCGTAGTGATGCTTTTAGAGATACTACAATTATATAATAAATAATAACTTATATCTTTAAAAGTAACTAAAATAAATCTAAAAATAAAAATCAATTTTTTTAAAGGAGGATTTTTGTCCAATTTTGTATCTTGGTACAAATTATCTCAAAGCACATCTAAAATTATACTTATAAAGACACTCATCAAAATCTCAATAAATTCAGTAACTAAAGCTGAAAATCTGAATTAAATTGGGAATCTGCGTATAAAGAAAAATTATTACTGAGACGCAATTTGTCATTGACTGACAGAAGATAACTAATACTATTGGTTTAAATCCATTTCCTTGATTGTAACTGGTTGTGTCATGGAATACGTAATTTCCGAAGATGCACATTTACCATAATATCTTATCCGTGTTGCCATTAATTTAATATTTAAACTACATTTTTATGTGGTACAAATGAATAGTAAAATTCCATTTATATTTTTTTTAAATTCGGCATATTTTTCTACATTCCATGGTAATTCTTGAGGAACAAAATTGGGCAGATTTGTGTGGAGAAAAGAATGTATTATTTGAGTACTTAATTAAATATATTTTTAAATTAAATAGATACCCAATATCATCAGCCTATTAATACTTACCTACTGTAGGCTTTCTTTTTACGAAGTTGTTTTCCATGGAAACGTTCGCAAATATATATTGTATTGAGATAGGTATTTGAAATACTTGGATAAGTTTATGGTAGGTTAGGAAATAAATGGGCTGATCAAGAACAGTCTGACCTGTGTGAGGTGGTGCATATAGGTGGCCGACATGATGCGCAGGCGCAGAGCTTGCGGCGCAGCCTGCAGGAAGCACGGCACCTGCATGCCGCGGGACTCGCGCCACAGGTGCAGCGAGTACTCGTTCACCATGCTCACTAGGTTCTTTGATACTCGGTTGTTCTTCAGGAACTCCTGGAAACACTTTACCAGATCAATACATACTAGAGGTGATTTATAAGGTAAAAGATATATTGCGGCCGGTGTGAGAGCGACTGTTGAGTGCGTAATGGGAATTACCGACAATTCTGCCTGCAATTCCAACCAAATTGCGGAAGGAGCAGATTCGAGTTCTGTCTGGATTGATTAATTAAAAATTTTAAAAAAGTTTTCTTTAGATTTATAAATCTGTCAGTTTCATAGCAGTGACATTATAATATTCAACAGAATTTGGTGAATATTTTAGTGCTTCGTTAGAAAGCCTGCAGGCAATAGATTTCGTTTCGACCCCAAGATAATAATAAATTTTAGTTTTGTTTCTTATTCTATCTTGTAGCACACCTATTTCTACAGTTTTTAAGATCACCTCCACCACAATTGTAGTACAAGAAAACTGATACAGATTTATTCAGAACCCTAGCTAGTCAACACTCCACCTAATGTTAAACGATCATCACGTAAGTTTGCAGACCAGCTAAGATCGTGGCTGGCATCCACCTTCACTTAAAACCAAGTAGGGTGGAATAATGTGCTCGATATTTATTAAATCTAGGAACAGTGTAGTTCACCTGGAGTTCCAGATACTTGCTGTAGAAACTGAAACATCTGTACAAACTGAACTGGATCATGTTGGAGAACTCCCCCACGAATATCATGTACAGCAGCATCGCCACTATCTGCATCACCGAGACGAAAATCACCTGTAAAAATGTAGATAACCATAGTATAGGTATATTTTATTATACCTAAATAAAAGGACACGGCTTTCCTAAACTTTGTTGAATTAGTTTTTTATATTTATTATTTTACAGTCATAATTTTTATATCATGTACATTTGCTTTGGAAAGTGACTTCATGAGTAATCTCATATTGAAGTCATTTTTCAATTTGACGACTCTGTATATAATACAGGGAGAAAAAACAGCCCGTGTTGAGTTTCTTGCCGGTTCTTCTTGTACTCAGCACAAGGTCTACCGCTGTAGATTTGCGAACCGATGGCGTAGCTTTTCGACATTCACAAGTGCTTGTAACAGCCGAGACTGATCAAACGATATTGAATGTTGAGTTTATAAAATCTATAATAACTCCCTCTGTATCAACGTATCAACGTTTAGATGCCAAAACTTCTGAGCCGATTTTGAAATGGAAACAGAAGATATCTTCGAAAAAGGTTGAAGCAACGAAATAATACTAAACATTTGTTTTTAAAAGCTTAGCTCTGGTTTTGTGTAGGTCACTTCACTTCAATGCGAAGGATTCCAGTGTAGTCCCACCATGATTGTGTAGGTAATTAAAGTTTATTTTATTAATTACTGTGAAATACTGTCAAATCTCAGTTAATTAATATTTGGTTGATGTTTGAACAAAATCGCCTATAAAATCAAGAACATTCAAGTTAAACTATTTTAATAATACAAAAAGTTCATGAGAACAGCAAACTATTAAAAAAAAAAGAAAAAAATATATATTGGGCTGCTTATCTATTTTCTGAATTATCTATCGAGCCGTTATTCATTAGGAGCAAGTGTTGTATAGGAGCCGTTGATGTAACGTTTATAATTATTTGCATTTAATGACAATAAATCGTTATTGTAGTGCACATAATGGCTGGCGTTGGCAATGTTTCAGGAGCGTGGGATGCTATACTGCCTCGTTAGATCCGTCTCCCACCATGATCGTGATCGGCTAAATTTATATGCAGTTGTCATGTCACGTAGTTGTTATCACATTTCCATCTAAATAAACAAGTGTACATTGTTTACTTTCGATTTGAATTTTAGTAGTATTTATAGAATCTATTGATTCGTAAGTGACGCATCTTATTTTTTCAATCAAAATAACTATGAATGATAACTGGAGCACCATGGTATATGACAAATTATCACTTGCACCGTGGTCTATAAACCAAACCTGTTAGAGAAGAAATAAACGACTCTTTACTTTCCTATTCCAAAAGAATTTTTATTTTATTTTATTTTATTAGGATACTGAACAGCTTTTTTTTTAATTACCAAATAAATAAACACTTTTTTATCGATTGTCAGCATAGATTCACAGTTTCAAAATATATAAATAGTATTACAATATAAATATAAAACCGAAACAGAATAATAAACAAGTTTTTCGTTTTTAAAACACATTCAAAGGGTATAAATGAAAAATACATTTAATATAGTTTTATGGGGGGGGGGGGGGGGGGTCAATTTAGTAAATATAAATATAGTTAAAAGTTGATAAGTGTTTGCCAGCTATGGCTAATTTGATTCAGTTAACTTTTTTACTATTTCGACTTTGAAGCGATGTTTTTATTATACGTTTCTAGCAAACGATTCATGATGGCTATGAATGCCATACTTTGTGCGATGTGTGGGTACACTAAACAAAGGAGTTTTTGCAAAAATGCAAATCATCCTAATCAAATAGCAAGAACTTTGATGGGAAAGCAACCAAACTATAAATATAAGAGGCTAAAGAGACGTGCTCCTCAAGATTCTCTCTAACACAAACACAGAAAAGTCAAAATAGATGGGCATATCATTGGATTATGTACCATGCACGACATCTTTTTTTCCAAATTCATAAAATCCAGCTTAATGTCGACAAGACAGATCGCAGGAAATAAAGGAGACCTTTTTTCAATCCTTATTATCTAAACGAACAAAGCCAATGACATTATGTATTTTGTATCATTGATGTAACTTATACTTACTTATACATAGAGGCTTAAGAATAGAGTGGGGAAGGCGGCTCTAAAAGTGTCCGTCTAGTAGAAAGAGAAAGATGATGAGAGCCGGCTAGACTTTCTCTCTCTAATCGCGAATGCGCATTGGATGAATACCGACCAATCACACGACTGCGCAGCAATACCGACTAATCACACGACTACGCAACGTCACAAGAGAGAGAAATAGCTAGCCGTCTCTCATCTTCTTTCTCTTTCTACTAGACGGACACTTCCACTTGTAGTAGAGTACATATCTCCCCTACTCTTTTCTTAAACCTCTGTGGTATAAAGACCTATTTTAACAAATTAATCTCAAATAATGTGTCACCTGATGTCCAAGCACGAACTTTGACAGATCCGTAAATTGTAACGTCATCGTCAAATTATGTATGGAAGGAGCCACTTTGTTCTTACGACCGGCTGTTTAGTTTTCATAGAAACTTTGACAATGCTGTCGAACCCAGGATGATTCTCTGAACTTAAAACTAAATTTATCATCAGTCTCTCCTTTTCATTCTGTATAGAGAATGACAAGGATACACTGTTGTCAAATTAAAGTTTAGGTTTGGAGAATCATCCCAGAATCGACACCAATGCGATATGATAACGGAGTTGTCAAAATTCGCGCTCAGGCCTCTGATGGTAATCTAGGCTTAAGGATGTGTGCGACACTAGGAGCATCACATTCGCTTACACCAAGAACCTCATGCTGTAATCCATTGGGAAAACCTCAACAGGCTTGCCAACTCGGTTCCAAAGAATGAAGTCTCCCTGACGATTGCCGTGATCAAAGGTAGTGTAATTCAACTTAGCATTTCTTTTTGTATAAGGTAAGGTAATTACTTCCGGCTGATTCTTGGGCATTATGTCCCCGACTCCGTTCTGCGTGAAGGTGGTGAGCACGAAGTACATGGAACATATGTACATGTTGTGGCACCAGCTGCCGCCATCATCTGCCAATCAAATACTAAGTGGTAATGACGAGGAGGAGGAGCTCGATGGCGCAAGTAGTTAGCGCGTTCGGCTGCGATCGTTGAAGTTAAGCAACTTTCGCAGTGGTCAGTCATTGGGTGGGTGACCAAAAATTTACTATACGAGCTCCTCCATGCTTCGGAAGCGCGCCGTTGGTCCCGCCTGCATCTGCAGTCGTTAGCACCCACCAATCCGCACTGGGCCCGCGTGGTGGGTCATGACCCAAACTCCATCATTGAAATTCCATTCATAGGGAAGGCCTGTGCCCCAGCAGTGGGGACATTAATAGACTGATGATGATGATAAATGACGAGAAGAACTAATGGCACATCACAGACTGAATGCACTAAGTGTGCATGGCGCACTTTCGCAATGGCCGGTTATTAGATGGGTGATCAAAATCTCGAGCTTTTCCGCGCTTCGGAGAACGCGTCAAGCAATTGTTCCCGGCTGCATCTTCAGTCGTTAGCATCTGAGACCATGCTGTGGATGATGGCCCAATCTCTCTATGCCCTCCATAGGGAAAGCCTGTACCCCGCAGTGGGGACAATATAAACGCTGATGATAAAAGACTTAGAAAAACTGATGAGGCAAAGTCTTAAATGAATAGGGATAAGACTATAATAACTTTTATGCATCCACGAGGAGTTAGGTTCGGCCATGTCTTGCAGTACTCCGATGAAGTACCACATGCAGACCATGGTGTGTATGATGAGCGTGAACCAGATCAGCACCGTCAGTACTGTGCTCAGCATTAGGTTGACTATAATGCGCTCCCGGTGACGTGACAAGCATCTGTACGCTGTTACCTAGGTATTTAGAAGTAATTTTAGATCCTTTTTTCTCTGACACAATATACTGTGTCATAGTTATAATGCATTAAAAGAGCAGTTCTATAGGGTTTGTTACTGAATTTGTATATCATATAGTGTCGCCGCACACGATACACACGCCACAGCCACAAACGCCGCCATGAGAAGCTAGAAGCGGCTACTAAAGTGGCTGGAGCGCGCGACAGCGGCCGACTAAGGTAAGGGAGAGAGGGGTGGGAGAATCGCGCGAGTGACGTGTGTCGGCGTTTTGTATCGGCGCATTAAGTGGCCGGTGCGGGCCACAAGAAGCGAGCAACGACGATTTGTAGCGTGTGGCGGCCACCGGCGTACCGTGTGTGGCGAGTCCATATAAAATGTATGAAAACTAAAAGAAATATGCCGATGGCGGCGTTTTGTGGTTTTGGTCGGTGGCCAGTGTGCGGCGACACTTAGACAGAATTTAGTGACTTTGTGCTTCAGTAGATGTCTTAAGCCTTCCTCCGCATCTGCAGTCAATACACATGTATCCATATTGTGAGTTATGGCCCTATCCCTCTTACTCTCGAAACTCTCTGTGTTTGAGTCCATAGAGAAGGCCTTTTTTCTAGGAGTATAGACACTAGATGTAGGATGATTAAGATTTTTACTATGTAGTCAAAGTCAAAGTCAAAAATATATTTATTCAAATTGGATGCAAAATAAAACTCTTCTGTATCGTCCATATTTTTTCCCTACTACTAGTTAAGGACAGGAGTGTTGGATATTATTGAGATACCTATATAAAGAATGACGAAATTTAATACTCACTATGCGAAATAATCTGTTCAGGCGGAGCCAAGAAAAAACCATCCATCGGTGGTTTTGAAACGCAAAACACATCAACTCAGTCGGGAAACATGATACTATATCGTATTTCAACTCATTTTTCATATATCTACAAGTTATAATGTTTATTCGGATAAGGTATAGAGACAACGGTGCACTGGTTATAGGTAAACCGCTTAACTGAGTCCTCGCCTGCGGGGTTCAGGGTGTGGGGGAGGCCGAGAACGGGGACAGTGAGAGGTGCGCGCGGCGGGTGCTTGGAATTTTGACAAGAATGTGCCCGCCATCCGCACCGCTCACGGTCCCCCACATCCTTTACTCCGCAGGCGAGGACTCAGTTAAGCGGTCTACCTATAGCAGGTGGACAAGCCATTTTAATTATATTTTATTAAGTTTGCATTCCGAGTCGATGCACTCTAAACTGCTGACACAGTTGACCCACTGATTGGTTTAAGAATAATATTTTACATTATATGACAGTGCAATAAAGGCATTCACATCATATTGACGTATTTTAATAATTATCTCCTGACAATCGTCCCGTGACTAATTGACATATTGACAGTCGTTAGGGTCCTAGTAACGGCCCCTAGTAAGTATAGCAGGATCAGTCTGCAAGTGTGAAAGTTCAGCAACATTGGAAACGGCCTGTCGTAGAATGGGCAACCATCTCGAGCTACTCCATGCTCGCGAATTCTTGCTTAGCCGTTAGTTCCAGCTGCATCTGCAATCGTTAGCATCCACCAATCTCAATCAATCACCAATCAATGGGCCCGTGTAGTTGTTCAAGGTTCTTTCTTCCTATTCCAAAAAAGTAAATCAATAGATCGTTCGGCAGTCAGGATTTAAGCAGCTAATGGTGTTGGTAAATCAGGTTCTTCATCAGAAGAATGCAGATGATGATGAAGTTTTAGTTAATGTACTTCATGCACAAACCCTTTGAAACTATTGGCAAATTGACGAATTCCGTGACCGAGTGGTTTGTACGCCGGGTATCATGGTGTCGCCGACTCGAGAGGTCCCGGGTTAGAATCCCGGTGGGGCGAATGTTTGTGTGATGAATACGAGCATTTGTACTCCAGTCATAGATGTAAAATATTTATTTCTATATAAATATACGTATGTACAGTATATAAGTATATTTATATAGAAATGAATATCCGCGGCCCTCACGGACCGCGTCGAAATTCTTCTAGCTATTCTGAAGCTGCAAGGCAGCGCTCAAATCGTTACAGCGTTACTCAAATCCGGTTTGTAGTCTTATCAGACTATTCTTAACTTATAACTTAAATATTCTCTTTATCTATCTCTTACGGTTTGGCCGCTGAAACAGCACCACAGACAGACGGACGGACTTGTCTAATAGATAAGAGATAATATGTAATATGTTACGGTAAAACCGTACACTAACCATTACCCTAGTATCCCATAACACAAGCCTACAGTACTGGGGATAGGCTAATTGGTGTGAATGTTGGAAATATTAATTTATTTTAAATTATAGGCTAGTACAATTAAACTATATGTCAGTTTTAAAAACGTATGTTAGAGGTACTCACGACTGCTTGATAGGTATGAGAGCCTTCTTTGTATGTACTGAATTTGCAAGATACGGAAGGGAGTAATACATCAATATCTTCAAATAAAAGCACACATCCAATGCGTAAAGGAATGCCACGAACGAGGTGGTGTTATGCTGGAATCCGGCATTGTACACGTCAGCGTACACACACGCTAAAGAGATGACCATCAAGTATGTCTGGATGTATTTGTCCTTGTAGAAGAATTGGGAGAGCCTCTTGTTGTTGAGGAAGAGCATCATAGTGCTCATAGCATGCTCCTTTCTGGATATCGAAATGTCTTCTACCCGACCCATGATAAAGCTCTAAAAGAAGGTAAGAGATTAACTACTAAATGTTCATATACCTATTATGAATAGATATATTTATGAGAGTTATCTTGTGCTAGCTCTTCACTCTGGTCGAAGTTAGGCGAGGCGAGGTTGCGCGAATTTACGCGAGGCGAGTCAACACGAGGTGACATAAGAAAGTATCCATCTTCACTCTCGTCTCTGTTCAATTGTCTCTATGTCGCCAGCATAATGAACGTGCTCGAAGTGGCAAGTGCCGCGACTTTATGCGTCTTTGCGTATATGATTTTTGATAACATATAGTACACTTATAAAATTAAAAAGCCTTGGCGAAAAAGGCGATGGTGGATAACATCTATACACCGTAACAGAACAAGATGTGTTCTTTATTATTTTTTTTCAAAAAAAAACTCCCTAAAAAATGTTACTTAATCTCACTAAAAATTCGGGTGTCATACCGATTGAATAAACGCGATTATGTGGACGCCGCGTCTCGCCTCGTCTCGCCTCGTCTCTCCTCGTACCTCGCGCCCAAAAACCGACTCCAGTCGGAGGACAGACGAGACGAGCCGAGGCGCGGCGATGTGACGCGAGGGCCCCCACTACACTCTCGTGCTCGCGCTCCCTCGTCTAACCTCGGCGAGAGTGAAGTGCTAGCTTTGCATGTTGAGTTCCGTCAGTCAGTAAGGCATGCATAGCTGTATACAAAATATTTGAAAGAATATTTTTTTCTTAGATTAAGCTCATTGATTGGTGCTCAGGTAAATAAATCAATGTATAGCTTAGGTACCTGTTCCTCTGATCGAAACGTTTCCATGTCCTTAGCAACTTGTGGGAAGTCACTGATAATCTGATGAAAGGTCACGGCATCGATATGCAACACATGCACCATACTCTGCGCCGTGATAGCAGAGCTACAACGCACCGTGGGCAAGTTGTCCAGGTTTCCGAACACGCTAAAATGTAGTTGAAAGACTGAACGAAGCAGGGTATACTTAGTGACAAGCTAAAAATAATAATCCAAAAAGGGTTGATAAAAATTACGTAACTTTCAAAAGTTTCAAAAACAAAAGTCATCTAATCGGTCATAGTTGAGAAGAAGAAACATTTGTTATGTCGCTTGTTATTCTCATATAGCAAAAACCTTGAAAAAGCCTTGTCCTTGGAGTCATAATTGTAACACCAAAAATATGCAACCCGAGAAGAACATTACAAATTTTCTTTGAAAATATATTCGTTTGATTTCTTACCTGCCCTTGGTTAGTACCGCGATTGTGCTGGAGGAGCTGGTGCTATCCTTGACGGCGAGTACGCCTTCGTCGACGAAGTACAAGTCGGCGATGACATCATCGATGTCAACCAGCATCATGTCCCGCAGGAAGTAAGTGCTGCGGACTGCTCTCCCGATGATGCGCAACAGGGATACGTCGCACTCAGCCAGGAACGGACACTATCTTAATCAAGGGCAATAGAAAATACAGAATAAATAACAGTGAAATTGCTACCATTTCACAGATGCTTAACATATGCAATGTATAAAATTGAGGAAAAATTAAAGAGCTGACAGTGATCGTCCCAGAAACATATTCGCTGATAAACAAAAGTTCCAACATAGCTGACGTGTATAATGATACAACGTTTTATGATTTTAATTTTCTGGCTGTATAAAAGATGATGTAACAATAGAACCTTCTCGAATGTTCGGCCATAGATGTGCAGAATGGCGTCGGTCCGTAGAGTGATCTGATCGCACAACTTCAGCACACTGGTGTAGTCGATGCCGCCAGTCTTCTCCCAGTTGTACTCGTAATAATCCAGCACTTCTCTACCAAAATAATATTATTCCAACATCTTGTAACTTTTTCGAAACGGTGTCTATACTACGCCAAGTATTGTTTTTTATTTATTTTGAATCATTACATACATCCATCATTTCAGGAATAACCTAATACAATAAGTGCAGTTACAGCAGACTAGGTAGATTTGTCAAATGTGCTGGGAGCCGCTGGATGCGGATAGCGCAGGACCGCGCATTGTGGCGTTCTATGGGGGAGGCCTATGTCCAGCAGTGGATGGAGAAAGGATGATGGATGGATGGATGGATGGATGGATGGATGATGGTAGATTTGACATTATTTTCAATATTTACTGAAAACACCATGTCATAAAGCGTTTACTACCTACAGGACATCTTACAGCTGGCAAAGTAAATCTAAAATTTTCTTTATAGTTCAGCATGATAGCAAACTGTATCTGACAATCATTAGCATAGCAAAAAGTCCTTACTTCTGCAGGTTCTTGGGAAGGTGTTCTCGCTCCATGAAAACAACGATGTCCTTTATGTGTTCCTGGTAGGCCGCCAGCTGCTTGTTGACCTTCGCGCGCACGCTGATGATGCGAACCGACAGGTACGTCGTCATCATGCTACCTGAGAAACATGCGCTAGTTGCCAACGTTCATATTCAGCATTCTCAATTCCAGAGTACGCATAAGCGACTATTTTCAATAAATATATGGACATAATCGAGAAGCTCGATGGCGCAAGTGGTGAGCGCGTTCGGCTGCGGTCGTTGAAGTTAAGCAACTTTCGGCGTGGTCGGTCATTGGATGGGTCACCAAAAATTTACTATCTCGAGCTCCTCCGTGCTTCGGAAGGCACGTTAAGCCGTTGGTCCCGGCTGCATCTGCAGTCGTTAGCACCCACTAATCCTCACTGGGCCCGCGTGGTGGGTCATGGCCCAATCTCCCTATTCCATCCATAGGGAAGGCCTGTGCGCCAGCAGTGGGGACATTAATAGGCTGATGATGATGATATATGATGGACATAACATCGATAGGGCCCAGTTCCAACGAGTTTAAGTACCCTAGATACATCAACACGAACAAAATCATGCCCGAAGCCTGTCCAAAAGGTACATTGGACGATACACGGAGCTCCGTAAGATGATCGAGTAGTCTAAACAATATAAGGCATTATTTTAACATTGAAAATCACCTTTAAAGCACACTGTATAAGGTCTTAATTAAAACGCATGCGTCAAAGAGCTACGGCAGTCTGAAATGCAAGTTCGTAAAATTTTACGACATAATTGCTATATGCGGAAGAATATAGACCTTATTTGACAAATTTAAATGACATAAATGGGACCTTATCATCAATAATTAAATGGCTAACTGCTAACAATTTAAAGGTTAACTTAGATAAAACAAGTATAATGAGTTTTCAACAAAGGACTGATGCAGTGAATCTAAATATCAACTACTCTGGTAAGCAAATCTGTGGAACAAGTACAAACAAATTTCTAGGTTTATATATCGACAGTGACTTAAAATGGAAAAGCCATATAGAACAGCTATGTAATAAGTTGTCTAGTTATTCTTATGCGTTGTACCAATTAAGTAAAGTTGTAAATTCAGATGCTGTACTGTCTGCTTATCATGGGTACGTTGGATCTATCCTAAGATATGGAGTAATGTTTTGGGGGAACGCAACCGACAAAGAAATCGTTTTTAAGTGCCAAAAGCGTTGTATTAGGTCAATGTTTAATTTATGCATGACCGACTCGTGCAAACCGTATTTTAAAAAGTATAAGATACTCACACTTCCATGTCTGTACATTCTGGATTGCGCCCTATTTGTTAAAAATAACACAGATATGTTTAAGGTCTTGTCTAGTGCACGCCATAGGGATAAATTCCGCATGGTTCCTTCGAATACTGCACTTATGAACCGGAGTGTGTTCTGTAACGCCCTTTGTATATATAATAAAATTCCTGGTCCAATAAGAAGTAATGAGAATGTCCTCAGTTTCAAGCATATGTTAAAGAATTTCTTAGTTGACAAATGCTACTACACAATTAAGGAATTTTTATCTGACAAAGAAATTTAACAATAACATTCTGGGTACCACTTGACATGAATAAAACGATATGGAAATAAACTTAATTGACATTTAAAATAATATTGATTTAACTTGTGACATCTAATGTTATTATTAATAATTGTACGCCTTATGGCAGGACATAGCTGAACTGTATGTACTGATGTAACACCCCATTATTGTACCTATGCTCCACAATAAATGAATTATTATTATTATTATTATTATTTCTTTGACTCTACGCGCAATTCTACATGCGCTGTTAGTAATATAGGAGGTACGGATCGCGAGGAAAAGTCACGGCTATATTACCATGCATTTGAATATCACAAATATTTCTATTAAATCAGTTTATAGTTTACTATAAACTTAAAATAAATATTCTTAAGCTGCAAGGCAGCGCCATCTCTTCGCATTATAGGTAAACCCACAATGTCAAATGAATACTTTTACAAGTATTAAACATTTGAAAGAAGGGCCGCGGTAGCATAATTGGTCAGTGCATTCGCCCGGATTGCGAAGGGTGCGGGTTCGAGTCCCGTCTGCTGCCTGGTCCGCGTGGAATTTTTTCTAGTTATATTTTCTTTAGATTTAAACATCAAGCAGTTACATGCTTTAAAAATAATAAAAATTATAATTAAAATAAATATTTATATTAAAACAAAATTTGCTGCAAATGCGTTAAATCAACAAACATTGATCAGATACCTGTCGAAAAACGACATTTTATGAACTGTAAGTATTTATTTCGCATTTTTCATGGAGCTCAGCGGCATGTTGACTTTTCAACGGTCCGCGCGTGACTGTGAACCAAGAAGTGCTTGAGTCGTGTTCAAGCACTTCTTGATAGGGACACATTTTGACCGCACGTGGTGTATCTAGGTTATTTAATATCGTTGCCCAGCTCTTGAAACTTTGGAGTTGACTATCAATACTCATCGTGACTGTTATCATCATCATCATCCTGCTCTAACTTACATAGTAATTAATGTCGTAGTGTAGGAACAACAGGACGAAGTTCTTGCACGATACATCAATAACGGGAAGAGTACAGCTTCAGTATCCAGTATTCATATGAAATGAATTACCAAGTGTTAATAAATATTTTGCATCATCATAAAACAAGAACTTTTAATAAACAACGCTTAACGATTTTTTAAAGTGTTTCTTTTTCTATATTAAAACAGTGGTGTCGATTCTGGCGTGATTCTTTAAACTTAAAACTAAATTTAATATCAATCTCTCCTTTTCATTCCGTATAGAGTATGACAAGAATACACCGTTGTCAAATTCAGGTTTAGGTTTAGAGGATCGTGTCAGAATTGACACCAGTATCCTAGTATATCTTAGATAAAAACAAAAAGTTTTTTGTTTTAATGTAAGTAGTATTTAGACTTTAACAATTGCTGCTCAACAGCCTATTTTAAATGATGCACTCACTTAAGACCATGCCGACGAACAGCACAGTGATAATGTAGAGGTTGCTGGGCTGGAAGCAGCCGTAACCCGTTGTGGTAGTCGCGTACACCACCCAGAAGTACGTCGCCAAGTGCAAGTTCCAAGGCGACTCCGTCAGGTTGAAGCGAACTGTTAATTTCATAATAATAGTAACATACGAACATCGGCCATTACATATCCCTTGGCAGAAAATCGAGGAAATACCGCACAGAGTTATTTGGCTTCTTACTATTATAGTTATTACTCTTCTTGCATATAATCACAGAGTACCTTATTATAACCGGAAATAATTTAATGTCAAAGCAATGTAAGTGATAATAGCGGATACGTAAATTAATGTCTTATTCGATAAAAAAAAAGGTAAATTTAAAAAATCAAAAAACCCGACTGCTTAATTATACTTCAAATAAAAACTGAAAAGAAAAAAACAAGTCCAGTAGTCTATAATTCTGTTAATAAGGAACAAAGCTACTTTAACAGTCGGGACCCATTAGATATTCAAGAATACATAATATTTTTCAACAGTGGGTCCCGACTGTTAAAGTAGCTTTGTTCCTTATTAACAGAATTATAGACTACTGGACTTGTTTTTTTCTTTTCAGTTTTTATTTGAAGTATAATTAAGCAGTCGGGTTTTTTGATTTTTTAAATTTACCTTTTTTATTTCACACTTTTTAGTTAGTTAGTATTTTAAGACGGTATATACCGTAGTCTTGTTACTTCAGTAAGGGAATTAATATCGCGGGAATTATTAAGTACCTTAAGACAGTCTAAAAATGAATCTAATGATACCGCATACATATTTTTTTAAAGGGAAATTTAGAAAAAATATTATTATGTCTTTATCCCGTGGGACTTTTAGGATAAAATGTATCCTATGACACTCCCGTAATCAAGACAAATCTAACGATACCTCATACATCAAAATCCATCAAGCCGTTTAGGCTACAGGAGGTCACAAAGGAACAGACATACATACATACTTACATACACTCCCTCAACATTACCCTCCCTCTTTGGCAGTCGGGTAAAAATAATAAAACCCCAAAACCTAACCGCAGCTCCACTTACTGGGTAGCGTTGTATGTTAGTTAAAATTTCTTATTTATTTTTGTATTTTTCGATAACTTTGCATTTCTTTTTCTATAAACACCTTCTACAAAATGTTGGAAAACTTTGATACAGTTTTTTCCAAGTTATAGTGTGACCAAGGCAAATTGGGAATCATTTTTATATTATAATATAGAAATAGGCTACCTAATTCAAAACATACTCACAAGTATCCCCAAACAAGTAAATCCAAGAGCCACCCTTGTCATGGAATGGAGCTATAGTAGACTCGCCGCTGTCGGCCACGTAGAAGCACACAGAAGCGAGCACCATTAGTGACGTCATCGTGTTCAGGATCACAATGTACAATGGAATGGCCTTGATTCTGTAGAATAAGCAATAGTTTATATAGTGTGAAAAACTGGAAGGAAATCTATACTTCAGGTGAATAATTCAGCGAATTTTTTGGGCTTATTACTGCTTGTAACGTTCATTTATTAAGAAATCTAAAATCCATTTGTAGAAAAGAGTTTTACTTTCGCACAAGTTAACAACATGCGCGGGAAGCGCTCCGATTGGTTGTGGTGCAGGCAACATAATGGACGCGAATGCGGGTGTTTAGCCAACATCGCGTAGAGAAACTAGAGATGCACGCTGCATCCTCCTCCTCCAAGTCATGATGTCGATCCGACGATTATTTGGCAAAACTAAGAGCGCGCCTGCCTCGGGGACTTACGAGGTCGACCTCGCAGAAGGCGAGGTTGGACCGGCTCAACGACATTAGTCACATTATCACAAATAAGACCCGTAAGATCGGAGACGTGAAAGCGACCCAAGTACTGCGGGTCAATTATGCATCAGTAATAAAATCCTAATGTGATGTCAATATGATGTTGATGCCAAGTTGACATTGTTTTTATATGGTACTAGCGGACCCGACAGACGTTGTCCTGTCTACACGTCTTTAATTTGAAAATTTGACACTGCGATGGTAGCGCCGTCTGTCGGATCCAATGTAAAACATTCCAAAATCAACAACTACTAATAAATTAAAAAATAATTAAAAAAACATTGTCCAGCGGACAAAATTGTGAATCTAAACCATTCTCAGATCCCCTTCAACACACACAAAAAATTTCATCAAAATCGGTCCAGTCGTTTAAGAGAAGTTCAGTGACATACACACTCACAGAAGAATTATATATATAAAAGATTATGAAACATTCCTATGTCACATCAAGATCATATCAATATCATATCCTGTATCACATTTTTGACGTTTATGCGATACTATTTTAAGTCAAAAAGTTGAACGTAATACGCATTTAAGTTGATATCATTTTAAAGAGTTGATCATCATCATTGCATAAGTTGATGTCATTTTGATATTGCATTTTTCGGAGAGCATAATACGTAATGTGAAATAGACATCAAAACAATATCACAATTAGCGAGCATAATTGGCCTGCTGGCCCAACCAATCGGACGCGAATCGCGGGTGTTTAGCCAACATCGCATAGAGAAACTAGAGCTGCGCGCTACATGCTAGAGTTTTAAATTTAAAGGAAATCTTTCTAAATGGTTCATTCAGCTGATTCATCAAAATATTTGAGTGTCAGTTTACAAAAGAGACTCAATAAGAGACTGCGCTCAGTTCTACTAGTACAATATCATGAGCGAAGCGAAACGAACTTTCACTACCAAAATGGCATGGCATAAGAAATCTCCCAATGCCAAATTCGTAACTCTGTCTTATCCAAGATTCATATTCTATGAAAACTGAACAGAGAAAGTAGTTTCCCAGTCCCACAAGGAAATCGGCAAATCTTCAATGTTAAATTGCGATTAATGTTAACAAAGATAATTACTAGCACTTCACATGTGGTATATACTATCTAGTATGACCTCATCATACTAAAAAGGGATTGAAGAGAATATATGAGAAGCTCGTGGTGCAGGTGGTTAGCGCATTCGGCCTGCGAACGTGGAAGTTAAGCAACTTTCGCAATGGTCGGTAATTGGATAGGTAACCAAAAACTTATTTTCTCGAGCTCCTCCGTGCTTCGGAAGGCACGTTAAGCCGTTGGCTGGATCTGCAATCGTTGGCACCTATCAATCCACACTGGGCCCATACGGTTGGTCACGATCCAGCCTGCAGTGGAGGCATTAATAGGCTGATGATGATGATAATGCAATACAAATAGCCAAGTACAGTGCCATCATTACACTAATAGTATGTCTCGGCGCTCGATGTATTCGTCGAGGCAGAGCATGGCGCTGCGCAGGCGGTACAGCTGCAGCAGCCGGTTCAGCATCAGGAACTGCCGGCTCTTCGTGCGGTGGTTGTCTTCTGGTGGCAAGAATAAATTCATGTGAACACCCAGTTTTATTAGCCACAACCCACTTTTTGTACTCCTCGTGAAGTAATGAAAAAAAGCGAATTCGTAGTTTAGTCTTTAATTTGTACCTGTGACTTGTAACACTATTCATGATCTACCTACCACTGATAAATGTTAGAGGTGAGAATGTGAATATTCTCAATTTTCCTGGGAATACTAGAAATATTCTCGTTCCGAAAATATTGATCATATGGGGAATATTTTCCCTGAATTTCTATTTTTTTTGGGAAAGGTACATTAATGTTCGTACGAGCGGACTCCAAGAGTGGCGACTCGAGGTTCTCCAGCGGCAGACAGGCCAGCAGGTCAACGAAGAAGGCACCCTTCAGGTAGTGGGCTGTCGTACTGGCCGGGTGGAACACCAGCGCGCCCTCCGCGTTGAAGTACCCCACCAGCATACGTTGCAGGCTGAAGCAGACGTTTAAAAATACTCTTTTTAGAATTATAATTTTTATTATTTTAAAGCAGCTATACTCTAAGTGTGTTCCGCGGAACCCTAGGGTTCCGTGATACCTCTGTCGGGGTTCCGCAAGAATTTAGAAATAAAAAAATCAAAACACCTCTCTCTGGTCGCTCCGCGGCTGTGCGGACTCCGCGGCCGCGCGGAGACAAAACGCTATGAATGTTATTTATTTATTTATTTGTATTTGTATAAGCTTGTGTTACATTAGCTGGTACAATATCTCATAAGTTTGGTCTCAACAATTTTATACTTGTACAACGCGTTCGCTCTAAGTTTGCCGGTCTGTGGAATGCGCGTACCCTCCCCCACGTGACAACAAAACTTATAATGTGTCATAGTTTTACCCAAATATCTAACGTACACAATTTTTATTGTTACAATTAAATAAAAAATTTCGAACGTCATACACTCATACCTATCGCCAGCGGCAAACTTAAAACGAGCGGGTAGGTATACTTGTAAGCGCTCAGTCTCTTTGATAAAAGCCGCCTCTGAATTAGACGCTATAGTTGTCAACTAGCGACTTTCGTCTCTAACTTCAAAGGATAAAGTCGATATTGTTTACAACGCTATTTTTAAATTTCTGTTTTTATTTTTGCTTTTTGTTTATCAAAGGTGCCGACTCGAGTATTTTCGAGAATATTTGAGATCGAGTCTAGGACTAAGTATAAAAGCGGCGATCGCGCGTTGGCGTCGTCAGTTGATGATTAGCGTTCGGAGCGATAAGTTACTACCTACTTACAAGCTCGCTAGCGAGAAACTGGTGTTCATTGTTTTACTGCCTGCTGTATTCTGTTGTCTCAGTTTTATACATTTCTTCCCTGTAGGTTCTAAATTTAGTCTCTTATACGCAGTAACGATTGTGCATTATTTAAACCCCACTATCCTGACTTGTAACATTATAAATAAAGAAGAATGGAACGTTGGCTTAAAGGTGTTAAACGTGTTCCAACAACATCTTCTAATGACGCTGAATGTTCAAAAGCAATGCGCGCGGAGAATTTAGCAATCACCGATCCAGAAGATGATGCCACGAGTGCCACGACGTCAAGCTCGACGGTTTCAAAGACGAAAAAAAGGAAGTATGATGAATCTTATATCAGTTTCGGATTTGTTGATTCCAACGGCTCACCTCTCTGCATGCTCTGTAGTAAACTGCTTCCTAATAGTTCCATGGCACCTGCCAAATTGCGTCGACATTTAGAAACCGTACACCCCGAGACTAAAGACAAGAATAAAGAATTTTTTGTTCGCAAAAAAGATCAGTTATTAGAAAGTCAAAAAAATATGATGCATGTAACACAAACTACCAACGAAAAGGCCACGGAGGCATCATACTTAGTTAGCTATCGCATTGCACAAGCAGGTGAAGCGCACACTATCGCTGAGAAATTAATAAAACCATGTGTATTAGACATAACAAAATGTATGCTTGATGAAAAATCTGCAAAGCATCTTTCTACTGTTCCGCTATCAAACGATACTGTTTCACGACGAATCCATGATCTGGCAAGCTACGTCAAACAAGAACTAGTTACACGTCTACAAAATACACGATTCGCTTTGCAAATGGACGAGTCGACTGATGTCGCTGGTTTGGCTATCCTGCTGGTTATTGTGAGATATCCATATAAAAGTTCTTTTGAAGAAGACATGCTTATGTGTTCATCGCTGCTTACAAACACTACCGGGGAAGAAATTTTTAATAAAATAAATATATTTTTTGAAGAACATAATCTCAGTTGGAACAATTGCATTGACATTTGTACAGATGGGGCCAAGGCGATGACAGGTAAAACAGCAGGAGCAGTGTCACGAATGAAAAATAAAGCGCCTAATTGTAGTTCCAGTCATTGTATTCTGCATAGACAAGCACTTGCGATGAAGCAAATGCCGTCTAATCTAAAATTAGTTATGGATGAAGCGGTAAAAATAATTAATTTTATCAAATCACGACCACTACAATCCCGATTGTTCTCATTATTGTGTGAAGATTATGGCAGCAAACATAAAACACTGCTGCTCCATACAGAAGTGCGATGGCTGTCTCGGGGAAAAACTTTAACAAGGCTATTTGAACTTAGAGCCGAGTTACAAATGTTTCTTTCAGCAGATACTTCTTTTAATTTGAAGGACCGTTTGTATGATAAAACTTGGTTGTTCCGATTGTCTTTTATGGCGGATATCTTTCAAAAACTTAACGAATTAAATTTATCATTGCAAGGTAAACAGACAACAGTGTTTCAGGCCTATAATAAAATAACTACTTTTAAAAGAAAATTAGATTTTTGGATCATTTGCATTGGTAAGAAAGAAATAGAAAGTTTTACGTTACTCACTGAGTTTGTTAGCGAAAACGACTCAGAAATGTTTGAAGATAATGTGTTTGAAGAATTGGTCCAATATCTCAGTTCGATGCGCGCATCTTTTGAAAAGTATTTTCCCGAAGAACACAATACAAAAATTAAAGTGAACTCCTGGATTCATAATCCTTTTTTACCCAACTTGGAAAAGCCTGAAAACATGTCAAATGAGATATATGAATCTCTTTTAGAAATGTCATCAGACACAAGTATGGAGTCATTGTTCAAAACGACGCCTCTTAATGATTTTTGGTGCAGAATCCAAGATGAATATGCAATGCTTGGCCAAATGGCTCTGGATATTCTTCTCCCGTTCCCAACTACATATTTGTGCGAAACAGGATTCTCTACCTACGCAGCCACGAAAACAAAATATCGCAATAGACTGGACGCCGAAGCTGATATGAGACTCCAACTTTCTTCCATCAAACCTGATATCAAGCAATTGATGAAAAATAAAAAACAGTTTCATACCTCCCACTAGTTAGATTTTTTCTTTTTTAATGTTTTCTATTATTGTCCTTACCAAGTGGTGAAGTAAATAATAATTAGTAACGGATACATTGTACTTTTATTATGCTGATTAATATAGAATACACTTATAAAAATAATTGTTTTATTGTAGGGTTCCATCAAGTATTTTGCTTCCCAAAAGGGTTCCGTCATTTAAAAAGTTTGAGAACCACTGTTTTAAAGCATGTAACTCCTTGATGTTTAAATCTAAAGAAAATATAACTAGAAAAAAATCCACGCAGACCAGGCAGCAAACGCGGTCCGTGAGGGCCGCGGTAGCATAATTGGTCAGTGCATTCGCCCGGATTGCGAAGGGTGCGGGTTCGAGTCCCGTCTGCTGCCTGGTCCGCATGGAAGTTTTTCTCTTTTTAGAAGTTTTGATAGGTTGTTTTTTTAAATAAAATCCAACAATCTGTAGGTAGCTTGTATGTTGCAGTACTAAACTTATTATGTAGAGCAGCAGCATGACAGGCCATAGCGCAGACCACTGTAGCTCCAGATAGGCGTATCTGGGGACATGGCTTACTGACATGACGAAGTAGGCAGCCAGGTCAAGCAGCACCGCCACTAAGTATAGCGCGGCCCACTGCAGCTTCAAGAACTTGTAGCTGGGGATACGGCTTACTGACATGTCAAAGTAGGCGGCCAGGTCGAGCAGCAGCGCCACGAAGTATAGGGCAGGCCACTGTAGCTCCAGGTAGGTGTAGCTGGGGACACGGCTTACTGACATGCCGAAATAGGCGGCCAGGTCAAGCAGTAGCGCCACGAAGTATAGCGCGGGCCACTGTAGCTCGAGGTAGGTGTCACTGGGGACACAGCTTACTGACATGTCGAAGTAGGCGGCTAGATCAAGCAGCAGCGCCACGGAGTATAGCGCAGGCCACTGCTGCTTCAAGTAGGTGTAGCTGGGGACACGGCTTACTGACATGTCGAAGTAGGCGGCCAGGTCGGGCAGCAGTGCCACGAAGTATAGCGCGGGCCACTATAGCTCCAGGTAGGTGTCACTGGGGACACGGCTTACTGACATGTCGAAGTAGGCGGCCAGGTCGAGCAGCAGCGCCACGAAGTATAGGGCAGGCCACTGCAGCTCCAGGTACGTGTAGCTGGGGAACACGGCGGCGCCGAGCAGTGCGCACGCGCCGCGGAACCACTCGTACCGCATGAGGTACGCCCCATCTGGACGGATCGTGAACCGAGGGAAAATGTACCTGTTAAATGCACAAAACGATACTAAATTGAGTGTAAAAAATTCAATCGGAGCACAATTCACGAGAATATCGTTAAGTTGAATCATGACGTCCGTCGTTGCATTGAATCGAAAAAAAAATCGCTGCATGGTGTACGGTAAGGATAAGGTCGGTCTGTCCTTTTATTAATGTATCAATAAAAATGATTATCAATTACCAAAATATTCACATTCTTACCACAAAAAAGACATGCGTTCAACACGAGTTTAATAAAAAATATTAAACAAAAATTGATCTAACTTTTTTGTAATTAAGACCGTACTGTTTTCGTGTTTTTCTCGTTAAATTTCCACATTTGCCAGGCCCCCGCGCGCGACGACTGATAATTTCATTGATAGCTGCGTTTCATGGTTCATACTCCGCGATTTGATATTATGACATACCTTTAAAACTTACCTCCAGGGGGCCAATCGCTTAACGGAAATGCTTTGGGAAACGCTAACGCTTACGATTTTATATTGTTATTTCTAGCCGCCTGAGGCTTTCGAATACCTCACGCTCATTTTTTTTAATATTGTTATTACCAATGCAAAAGAAAAAGAAAGAGCGCGAGGCATTTGAATACCTCAGGCGGCTAGAAATAACAAAATAAAATCGTAAGTGTTAGCGTTTTCCAAAGCAATTCCGTTAGGCGATTGGCCCGCAGGACTTGTAACCGGTTTCGAAAATACCGGTAAATAAAGGTCAATGCCGGTTTTTAGTAAAGGTTTCGTTCGGAGCACGTCCAAAATGAAAGCGGTACCTAAAACCTTAATAAACCTGTTTAATCCAGAGCGACACGTGCACGCGTCGGCATCGCTTGAAGTTTGTTTTGTTTGAACTAATCAAGTCCCAACTTGTTAATGCTCAGAGATTGATACATTTATTGATACGTTTGCTAGCGTTTAGTGAGTCAAGTTATTCATTTTGTAGTTGTGTACTGACACACTACTTCACTCACTCGCTCTGTAGTTGGAAACAAACTGACATAAAATCATTATAAATTTGAATTGAAACGGCGAAGGCGATGCCGTCAGTAAGAGCGAAATGAAACCCTTTAAAACCCCTAAATTGATTGAAAACCTATTTGATTTCGCTTTTTAGGAAAACCGGTTTTTTAAGGTTAAGGTAGAGCCAAACCTAAATAAAACGCTCCTAATGTACTTGATACTGATTTAGATTTGAAAATTAACCGGTAAACAAGCCCTGCTTACGTAGGGTTACCATATCTCAGGATTTTTGGACTCTTCTCAGGATTGCGGCTGGATTTTGCAAATTCCATGAAATCTCAGGATTTTTTGAATTTCCAATAAAATACAGCTTGCATTTTGAAGATCTCTTTTAAAAAGTTAAAAAAACTAAAAATAATCTTATATTGGTAATAATTGCACAATTAAAATCAGTACTTTATTATCCAAGTAGGTACTTATTCAGTTTTATCACACTAAATATGTGATGATAAATTTTTAAGTAAGGGTTTTTCTTTAATTATGGATTCATATAATGCGCCGCATGTTAAGCTCTTCAAATTATATTGATTTAAAAGAATAAGCCGAGTATAAACGATAATATTACGACTTTTTTAAATTGTTAAGTAGGTTTGCGAGAAAATTCTCAAACTGTAAAAAATCTCAGGATTTTTCAATGGAAATCAATCCTTTTCTCCGGATTTTTGATTTTATCATCTGGTAACCCTATGCTTACCTCAATATAGAGAAGAATCCAAGTCTTTTGAACGGTTGTCGGAAGTCGTAATCCCTCTCATACTTGCGCGGGAGCAGGAATCTCTCCGTGTTCGGCGCGGGCGCGAGCGGCTCGTAAGATTGGAACGACTCGCGGCTCAGCAGCAGGCGGGAATACTCCTACACAAATATGTATGATGTAACCAGAGGCGGCCTTACCGATTGCGAGGCTCCGGGCGGCAGGTCTTTGCGAGGCCCTTTGTCCTTCGTGAAAAGTATGTGGTGCGAAAGTAGGTCTGGTTGTTTGGTTTAGGTATTTGTCATGTTTAAGGAAAAATGCTTAAATTATACAAATAAATCAAATTTGAATTTTAAAATATTTTACATTGAAAGATTCACAAAATTAACAAATACAGAGATGATAAATTTTAAAATTGATGTTTGCGGCTTTTCCTAAGACTAAAATCTTTAATTAAAGCACAATAATCTAACGAATAAGCTACGTCATTTTCGATTGAAAGAATAGCGAGGGCTGAAAGCCGATCTTGTGTCATTGAAAAAATAGTATTTTTTTTTATATTTTTAAAATTTGCTTGGGTTGTTGCGCGAGGCCCCTGTAGGAGCGAGGCCCCGGGCGATTGCCCTGTTCGCCACCCCCTAAGACCGCCACTGGATGTAACAGTAGGGCTGCCATCCGTCCGGGTTTCCCCGGATTTGTCCTAGTTTACGGGGCGTCCGGGAAGCGTCCGGGCGGGGTATTATTTGTAGTCCGGGTTTAAAAATTTACGGCAACGCATGAGTGGCCCTTGGTGCTGCATGTGTCCATGGGCAGCAGTGACCACTTATTATGATATAGACCGCTAGCTCTTTTGCCTAGATCATCATAAAAAAGTTGATTTGTGACATTTTTAACGGTTTTCTTATTGGTCTGTCCGGGTTCTGGGCTTCAAAATCCAGGGTTATCACGCGTCTTATCCTGGTTGCCACATTTTAGAGATGGCAGCCCTATGTAACATGAACATCCCCAATAGCTATGATGCCGAGACAAATGGTGAAGTATTCTGGATATTTCAATTTAACGACGATGGTATTAGCACTTTTACGAAGTCGTCGTGTATTTACTGGTTGCAATACCTATAAATTTAGTTACGTACTATTAGAAAATTATAATAGGGGTGATTACGGTGTACAGTAAACGAAATTCTATTAAGTCCGTCAGTTAGATGATCAAAATTAATGGACACGTATTTTTTCTTTGGGCAATCAACCAAAAAATGATAAAGTTCTAGCGCGTCAAAGTTTGGGAGTAGGGGCTCGTGACGTCACTTTTGAGTGAATTTTCACTTATAAGTGTACTCAAACGTGACGTCATGCGACTTTTCAAATCAATATATCTCTGCAATGTTTATATTATGTGAAAAAAGAATAAAATACGGGTCCAATACTTTTTGATAATCTACCTGATAAACGAAGAAAAAAAATTAGTCATCATCCCTATTAGACCCATTTTCAGATTTTGTAAGTTTCTATTTTACTGTAATGTAACTGTTCAATAATTAAGTATATATCAAATCATCTTTTATATACTGAAAGTATTCCAAGAAAAATCATATTTTCCAAGAAGCCCGATAGATCTTTTCTGCAACTTGGTGTCATTTTGAAATACGTCCGTATTTAGTGATAATTATGCTTTTAGCTTTGGTCGATCATTTCATAAATAGAACTTATAGCGCGAATTGTGTACCTACTGAACATTTAAAAAAAAATAGTACCGGACGTTCCTTCGCAAATTCTATGGCATCCTTTATTTGCGGCAAGTCCATAGCTCTGGATAGAACCTTCTTGGATATAGAGAACACCTGGACATGAGTCGCCGCCCGCACCGTGTAGTAAGCTGGGAGACCTGCAACCATCATTATATGTTTTTTTAACCTACATTCTTCGTAAATTGTTCGATAAAACTCTGTTTACATTAGAAATTGACTTTATTAAGTTAACTTTATTATTATTATTTTTAGTGCCGCCATCTATCGCGAAAATGCAACATTTTTCTATACGATTACTGTTATCTATCGCAAAAGCAAGGCAGTGTTTTAGTAATCAATCTCGCGGGGTACCGGGTTATATCCCCGGTCGGGTCAACTTATAAAATTAACTTTTTTTTTATTTTCTCGAGTCTATCTGATTATTTTATCGTAGTGTTTACTAATTTTGAATAGTAATATTACGTATATGATAATGATGATAATGGATATCGTCTGATATATTTATTACAGTTTATTACTTGCTCGTTAATCGCTACACAAAGCTTCTATATAATCTTTGTAAAATATGTAAATAAACTGCATTTTATTCCGTTTTAGTGCCGCCATCTATCCAGAAATTAAACATTTTCTTATACAATTACGGCAGTGCTTTTGTAGCAAGACTAGCATAAGCATGCGTGCTTTAAATTATCTATTCTTTGAAATAGTTCGCTTTAAAATTCTTTAGATGGAGCGTGCGATCTCAAGTACATTTACGACACTTGGTGACTTAGTAATAAAGTTTATTTTTGTTTGCGAAAAAATAAGTTAAATTAAATAGTACTTATATCAATATTTCATTTAAACTGAGTAGTTTAATAATGTCTTTAAACATAACGCACATTTTCATTTTTTTTTCTTTTATTAAGCTATTATTTATTATTCGAAAATTTAAGTAACAATGTAGTAATATTAAATATTGATCTAGAGAGTTGAATTTTAACACAGGTGTTGTCTTTGAGACGTACCTAGTCTTAGGATTTTTACATGTTCACATTTTGAAGGTTTCACTTCTATCGCGTGTGAACAGCACATGTCCGTTTTTTAAACATTGTTTTTTTTACCTGTAAAATACTATCTGTTATTTGTTGATGTATACGATGTAATTGGCTAGTTGACCCTTTTTCGAAAAAGGTTTTTAATGGTTAATAAATGTTCTATTAGGCCGAAAAAAAATGTATTGAATTTTTTTGAGACCTAGGAAGCTACAAATCTTTAATTTTAAAATATACTTTTCATGGATATACTAAAAGTTTATAATAAAAAAAACATGATTTCTAATAAATACCACAAAAAATATTATAGTATTATCATTATTGTATTGTACGAGAATGTAAAAACACATCCTTGAAGACTCCAGGAAAGTTGTGGAAAGTGCCGAAAGAAATTAACCTACGCAATACCTAGTTAGAACTTGCTAAAAGGGATCCTGCAACTTTATCGACTCATAGTAAATTTATTTCTACGAAGATCACTTTGATGTAAGTACTCATTGAATAATATTTTAAGTCTCTTCATTTATTATCAGTTTAAATAATACAAGTTTTAAGGTTATGTATGAATGACATTTAGTTGTTTACTACCAAAGAGACGTCACAATCATGGCGGATGCGGCGAACAGCGTTTTTAGTGTTTAAAAGGTAAAGGCTAAAATATTTTTTTTTTTAAATGAAATTTCTACAGCAATCGTTCCTTAGACCAAATACTTTAAGAAATAAACATTTATTTAATACAATTCGACAAGAGCCAACTAGCCCATTGTATGTATATATATTGTTAAAATAATCAAGCAGCTTAATGCTTACATGAAAATACTACAGCTATTACCTATATCAATTATAGGTATTTAAAAATAAATATAGAAAGAGACACTTACGCAACAAACATTCTATGACGCCGAAGTGATTTTTCACTCGTAAAGTTCCAACCACCCGTTTCGTATCCGGGTCTAAAATCTGCAATCCACCATTATAAAACAACACTTCTTTCGGATATGTTGGCAGATAGCTAGATAGGCACACTCACACTTAACACCAGGGGGCCATTCGCCTAACGGGATTGCTTTGGAAAACGCTATCGCTTACGATTTCATTATGTTATTTCTAGCCGCCTGAGGTTCGCAAATGCCTCGCGCTCTTTTTTTTAATACCTCATATTTAAAAACCTTCGGCGTTCAGAAATAACAAAATGAAATCGTAAGCGATAGCGTTTTTCAAAGCAATCCCGTTAGGCGAATGGCCCCTTGATGCTATGCGGTAAAAATTAAAAGGAGAGTACGGCGAATTTGCCATTAGATTTGGAACAATCATCATCAGCCTATTAATATCCCCACTGCTGGGCTACAGGCCTTCCCTATGGATGGAATAGGGAGATTGGGCCATGACCCACCACGCAGGCCCTGTGCGGATTGGTGGGTGCTAACGACTGCAGATGCAGCCAGGACCAACGGCTTAACGTGCCTTCCGAAGCACGGAGGAGCTCGAGAGAGAAGTAAATTTTTGGTCACCCATCCAATGACCGACCACTGCGAAAGTTGCTTAACTTCAACGATCGCAACCGAAAGCGCTAACCACTTGCACTATCGAGTTTCTCTTTTGGAACTGGATTAGAACAAACGATTGGAGAATCAACGACCATCTTTCAAAATCCTAGAGTCCCAGATAACAATTTTCTTTAATCTGTGTTCTGCAGTCAGTACATAGGTCTGACAAATGACTCCGCCCCACCTGATGTTAAGTGTCGGTGAAGTCCAGACGGGAAGATAGCTAGTACAGCAGTTCTACCTGCCACACCAGCCATCCTCACCTTGCCGGCCTGCATGTTGCTTATTCACGGCTCTTTTAAAGGATTCCAGGTTGTAAGTAGGGGGGAACACGTGAGCAGGCAGAGCATTCCATTTATCTTCCATCCATCCATTACCGTCCGGCTGGCTAAATGCTTGTTTAACACCCACCCACCAAAGATGGAGCATTACCTCCAACTTGTAAACACAGTCTTACTTCAAAAAAATGGTTGCCTGTAAAGTCGGTTTTACGGGCGAAGATTTTACGTGACAACGTCTTTTTCTCGGTAGAATATTTATTGATATGAATATAATTAAATTGCACAATAGGAACAAGGAATTGAATGAAAATAAGAATTGCACAAATTTTAACTATAGAAATATATATAATACGTCAAAAAAACATATTACAATGCATTGTGCTTGTGAATACCATCGTAGCATGCAACCACGCTACGACGATTCGTAGCAAACTTGCTACACGGCTACGGGGTTCCAGCATGCTACGAGACTCATCGTAACGTTACCGAGCGTTACACTTTTTCATAAGTGACTCCCAGCCGCAACCTAATTTAAGACGTTGTCACGTCAAAACAACAACACCGGTGTCGACTCTGGCGTGATCCTTTTAACTCGGTGTTTCCTAACCTTTCCAATACCGCTACCCCTGTAACCCATTAGGAAAACAGATTTTACTCCGACTTTAAAATGTTATCATCAGTCCAAGAAATTCCAATTTGGCCGCTATCTTCGTCTCTACTAATGTCATCATCAGGAGAAAATCTCGCTCCGCTTCCCACACTCAGCACCCCGCGGGCTCACTAGCAAGAAGGAACGCATGCTCTATTTAGTAGTATTATTTAGATTTGACCAAATACATAGGTTCTTTGTTACCCCCGAAGTATGGCTAATTTACCCCCGGAGGGGTAATTACCCCCAGATTCGGAACCCAGGTTTTAACATAAAACTAAATTTAACATCAGCCTCTCCTTTTTATTCTGTATAGAAAATGACAAGGATATACTGTTATCTAATTTAAGTCAAGGTTTTGAGAACCCTGCCAGAATCGACACCAATGTTATAAAACTTGTTTAGGCAAATTTAGGCGTGCTGAACGCATGTCTTTTTTTCGTAGAAGAAGGGTGTGTTCCGTAATATAAAACAGTATACTGGCCAGTGCTAATGACGTCAAGAATCGACGCCATGCTGTTGATTTGTTCCAAAATTTCCAAATACACTGATCAGCGCGGTGACGTCATGAACTGGCGCTATATTCAAGCAGTCTCGTGTTTGTGTGCAACGTTCATGTTCCAAAAATTTTAATAAATTATAATAAAGTGTGTAAATCTTGTTATTTCCTTCATCGATCAAAACTATTTTTTCTGTTTGTTGAGATTCCATTATTATTAATTTAATACAAAAAAGACCTTCACTAACTGCAGGGCGTATACACCCAGCTTTTATACGTCACAGTATTCTCACCAGCGTAATATGGCGGCACACCAGTGCAATATGGCCTCGAAATCTTGACGTCATTTCCGCTGGCCAGCGTACTGGCTTAAGTTTCGGAACACACCCGAAGTCTCACCTCGCATATGCCCTGCTTGATGACGTATATCTCGTTGCAGATGTCGCCAGTGTTGAGTAGCAGCTCGTTGGGTGACGTATAGAACAACTTGGCTTTGGACGACACGGTCTTCAGCTCCTCTCTGTTCAGTAGCTGTCACATCAAAACACTTTTGCTTGAAATTGATTTCATTAACATCTTTAATGGTGTTGATTCTGGCATGATTATCTAAACTTAAAACTAAATTTAACATCAGTCTCTCCCTTTTATTCTATATAGAGAATGGCAAGGATAATTTGATGTGAAATTTAATTTTAGTTTTAGAGAATCACGCCAGAATCGACACCATTATCTACTTAGTCTTAGCTCTTAGTTAATACGCACTTAGTCTTCTAACGGAGAGGTATAGGAGTCCAAAAAATATTTTCATTAAGATCTTTCATATATTTATTTCGCCATTTCTATTAGCCTTTTCATGTTGAGGTATAAGCCTTCCCTAAAGCCAAAATATCTTATAAGGAGTGAGAAGTTGCAACAATACACCAAATGGAAGCACTCGAAATTAACCAACCCGCTTTATGTTGAGACAGTGGAAATTAGCCATGAACATGGTTAATCTATGGTGGTGGTTACGACAAAAAAAAATGTCGCCTCATCCATCCTCACCATGCTGACCAGAAATTTCCCTACCCAGGAAAGAACCTAGTTACAACCAACAAGCCGGTTAATTGTGGTACTTAGCTGTGGTCTTCTGTAAGGCGCAAGTTACTTCCCCAGATGAGCGACTGCTAAAAACTAAAGTTAAAATCTTTTGTAACCTAATTTCTGCAACTACCTTCAGTTTTGCTATGTAAAAACAAATATATATTATGGTAATTCCAGCAGTCCTGCGAACGAAGGGTTTGTGTGAAAACTACACAGTTGGTGAAACATAATAGACGATAGAAAGAAGTCCAAGAAGAGTCCTTTACTTTCATGAAAGGTATCGACAGCAGGTACTTGCTCCGCTGGCGCATCACTATGTCTTGGTGCACGTACGGCGGCAGGTCATGGAAGATGGTGCTCTTCTTGTTCGTCATAGCGTACGCCTACAAATAACCATGAAGAATTAGATGATGGTATGGTTTAAATCGGAGGTACTATGTTTCCCGTTTATATGCATAAAATGATATACATATTTAGTCATCAATCATCATCAATCATCAACAGCCTATCCTAGTCCACTGCTGGACATAGGCCTCTCCAATTGCACGCCACTCAGATCGATTTTGGGCTACTCGCATCCAGCTCCTGCCAGCCACCTTGCGCAAATCGTCACTCCACCGTGCCTGAGGACGTCCTACACTACGTTTGCCTAGACGCGGTGTAGACGTAGACGGGTTCTGGAGTGGAGCAGAACCAGTCTACGTCTACATATTTAGTATTACATAATTATGTAATTAAACCTTCGAAATTGGCATTATCAGAATCTGTCGGCACTACAATATGCCGTTTAAGAATATGGCATTCTTACCCCTCGTTTACACCAAGGCATAATACGTGTATTAACTAATTTCATACAAAGTCACATTTTTATAAATTTATAAAACATGAAGTATACAATACTAGCATCCAACTTGTTGGATAAACAAAATATAATAATAATAATAAATATTTCCAACACTCACATCAATTAGCCTAGTCCCAAAGTAAGCACTGTAAGGCTTGTGTTATGGGATACTTGGGTAACGGATAGAATACATAAATTGTACATATATAAGTATGTTTAGATAGAAATACATATTAATCATCCATAACTGGAGTACAAATTGCTCATATTCATCACACAAACATCTGCCCCCACCGGGATTCGAACCTGGGACCTCTCGAGTCGGCGACACCATTTAAAACCGGTGTATAAACCACTCGGCCACGGAGGTCGTTGTAAGTGTAAGTAAATAAGTAATTTAGTTGTAAAGATACTAGTTGTCTATGCAGTGTAAACGAAATAATGTTTCAAACAACATCAACAAGTATCCTAGAAGTTTTCTGTAAAACTAGTATATGACTTGTTTCTGTGTAATCGAGGGGATAGAACCTAGCGTTTTATACTCGTCTGACATTACCAGAACCAGACATTTGTCGACTAAACCCAATAACCGTATCTGTAAGTAGTTACGCCTAGTTAAAAAAAATAGGAAAAGTTCATAATTCAATAAGATAATAAAACTTACTTCTATATTAAATATTAAATAAATCATGATTGTATTGACGTTGTAACAACATAATGATTTGTAAATTAGTTGTTACATTATTCTTTTAATGTTGTGGAGTTCTTTCGCTCGTTTTTCTCCGCAGCTAAAAAATATGTCCAATAACGAGTGGTAGGGAAAAAAATGTTTGGACGATTCAAAAGTGTTGTACTATACATCCAATTTGAATAAAGATATATTGATTTCTGATTTCTGACTGAGACGAACTTTATGAGATTGAAATACGTTTATTTATTACCTTCTTTATTTATTGCTGGCGTTAAGGCTACTTTTTACAGGCTCCGTGGTCGTCGTCGCAAGATTCAATCCTTAAAAATTCTTAACTTAGCTCTCCGCATTAACTTAAAATTTAATATGGATTGACCATGTTCCAACAGTTGGGCCATAAATCACACTAATATTATAAAGGCGAAAGTTTGTGATTGTGTATGTTTGTTACTTCTTCACGTCTAAACGGCTGGAGCGATTTTAATAAAATTTGGTGTGAAGTTAGCTGACAACTTCCGTGGCCGAGTGGTTTGTATGCCGGGTTTCATGGTGTTGCTGATTCGAGAGGTCCCGGGTTCGAATCCCGGTGGGGGCAGATGTTTGTGTGATGAATACGAGCATTGGTACTCCCGTCATGGATGTTTAATATGAATTTCTATATAAATATATGTACTGTATATGTATTCTATTCGTTACCCTAGTATTCCATAACACAAGCCTTACAGTGCTTTAACTAATAATTTTACTAAAAACCTACGATAAAGATAATAGTTTTCTTGTCTATTGTCACGTGACCCAAAACGCTTTGGATTGGTGGAGCCTAAAATGACGTCACACGCAAGTAAACTTCCGGTTAAAGTGACATTTGATTGTATGGTTTGACGTTTTAATGACAGTCGTGTGAAGTCACACACCAGTGAGCCGCCATATTGTCCAGAAGTACGTTTTCCGCGGCAACTTGAAAATAGAGTTTTTGATTTTTTTTGTTCCGAAATACACAATATACTGATGAATATCCACTTTTTATGGACTCTATAAACATTAGTGAATAACGTGAGATCGTTTTCTAAAAATTGTCAAATACCCTAATATCCCTAATAAACCGCGGCTATCACCGCGGGATACAGCTAGTAGGATTATAATGATAACAATAGGGGTGATGACGGGGTACAGTAAACGAAATTCTATTTATTCCGTCAGTTAGATGATCAAAAAATAATGTATACGTATTTTTTCGTTGGACAATCAACCAAAAAATGACAAAGTTATAGCGCGTCAAAGTTTGGGAGTAGGGGCTTGTGACGTCACTTTTGAGTGAATTTTCGCTTATAAGTGTACTCAAACGTGACGTCATGCGACTTTTCAAATCAATATATCTCTGC